GAGACTTAGTAAGTGATTATAATGCAATTAAATGCAAAGGTGCAGCTCGCTTGCACATTTGCATTTAATTGCATTATAATCATAACCTTAAATTGCAAGCTTCACCCTTGTTGGTGTTAGACTGGTGGCGGCTGATAAAACCCGTTTGCTCTAGTGATGTCTAACTCCGGGTTAGCTCAGTTGGTAGAGCGCTCCACCTGTAATGGAGAGGTCCCGGGTTCGATACCCGGACCAGGCGGATTTTTTCGGTCGCGCACCAGTCACCTAGCTGTGTTTGGAGATTTGTGTTTGTCCTTTGTCCCTCTTGTTCCCCTTCTCCAGGGATTATTTTCGTCATTCTTGTCCAGCTCGCTTGCACCTTTGCATTTAATTGCATTATAATCATAACCTTAAATTGCAAGCTTCACCCTTGTTGGTGTTAGACTGGTGGCGGCTGATAAAACCCGTTTGCTCTACTGATGTCTAACCCCTGGTTAGCTCAATTGGTAGAGCGCTCCACCTGTAATGGAGAGGTCCCGGGTTCGATACCCGGACCAGGCGGATTTTTTCGGTCGCGCACCAGTCACCTAGCTGTGTTTGGAGATTTGTGTTTGTCCTTTGTCCCTCTTGTTCCCCTTCTCCGGGGATTATTTTCGTCATTCTTGTCCAGTTCGCTTGCACCTTTGCATTTAATTGCATTATAATCATAACCTTAAATTGCAAGCTTCACCCTTGTTGGTGTTAGACTGGTGGCGGCTGATAAAACCCGTTTGCTCTACTGATGTCTAACCCCTGGTTAGCTCAATTGGTAGAGCGCTCCACCTGTAATGGAGAGGTCCCGGGTTCGATACCCGGACCAGGCGGATTTTTTCGTTCGCGCACCAGTCACCTAGCTGTGTTTGGAGATTTGTGTTTGTCCTTTGTCCCTCCTGTTCCCCTTCTCCAGGGATTATTTTCGTCACACTTAGTAAGTGCCTACTAAGCAATTTAGAGCTATAGTTAATCACTTGAAAACGTTACATTTCATCTGAAACAGTTATAGCATAAACACCTGAGATTGAGATGAACAGGGTTGTTCTTCTGACACGGCTGGAACTTGATGCACAAAAACTTTCGCCATGTCGGCCAGCTCATCCCCAGGGGCAAGGTCTACATACTCGCCAAAAGCTGCATCTAGTACCTGCAATCGATGCATACGATAGCTAGTCACACCTTCCTGTAACAGCACATTTGCGTTGTAACTGATTGGGAAAAAAATATTCGACCCGGCGTTAACTTGAAAATGCCAAGCACGCAAGAGTTTTGAAAATCGAACGCTTGTATGATGGTAGCAGTGCATTAGTTGCTGTTGTAACACAGCAATAATTTGGAAAGCGCAAGTTTCACGACGCTAGTACTACAGCTATACGGCGGAAGCCTGTGTCGTGCCGTTGGGCTCGCGCTATAGCGCGAGCCCAACGGCACTTGGATTACGCAAAACGTTTTCACCTAAGCTCGAAGTCGGTCGCACCATCCCTTCCGTTCTCAACATCGAACGCGCTACAAATTGGTGACCGTGATGATGTCACTGCCGAGACTGTCGCTTCCGCGCTTCTGTCCACCTGGAGCTCCCGCTTTGGAGTTCCCGCAGAAATCGTGACCGATCGCGGAGGCCAATTCGAGTCGGCCCATTTCCGAAGCTTGACAACTCTTCTTGGCATCGCTCACCTGAAAAACACACACAGCCTACCAACCGCAGACAAATGGTTTGGTCGAGCGTTTCCATCGCTTCTGGCAAAATTTGCACTCCCGGACACCCGCTTTGCCAGCATCCACGTGGACCTTGTCGGACCCCTACCGTCATCGCAGGGCTACCGGTACCTCCTGACCGTTATCGACAGGTTCACGCGCTGGCCGGAGGCTTGTCCCATCAAAAACATCACGCCCGGGTCACCAATTTGTAGCGCGTTCGATGTTGAGGACGGAAGAGAAGGTGCGACCGACTCCGAATTTAGGTGAAAACGTTCTGTTCAATCCACGTGCCGTTGGGCTCGCGCTACAACACAAAGGCTTCTGCCGTATAGCGCTACTACTCGTGTCGTGAAACTTACGCTTTCCAAACTTTGCAGCAGAACTAAGTGGAGCGTCCAGCAGCAGCCTATAGATTGTTCTTTTACACAGTACATTGCGCAGAAAATGCCACATTAAACGACCGCTTACCTGAAACCTGCTGCGTGACAGTTGGACCAGGCTTCCAAGCACGGGACACGTTGCGATCGCTTGCTTTAAGCACTCGATTGAACCTCTTTGAAGGGTCAATGCTCTTTTTGTTTGAGAACTGCCGGTGGCGACGGTGACGAGGCAACGCAGCGGAGACATTATTGTTACGACGAGCCCGCGCGTTGCAGAACGAAACTGCCGCCAATGCGACGCACAACGTAAACCGGTAAAACGTAGGCCTAATGTAGGCGCCAACGCGGCTAAAGCGTTAAAAACAAGTCAAGTCTCGTGGTCAAGTTTAGCGCGAATGAGTGGAATGAGCAACGGGAATGAGCAAACACCACCTAGATTGTATGGGCACGAAAGTAGACGAATGGCGTTACTGTATCGTAGCCTCTACCCGTTGTAACGGGCGGTAGCTCACGCCATCTAGCCAAAGGGGTTTTGTGGTGGTGGTGGTGGTGGTACGGTGGTACTGGCTAAAGTCACTGGATCAGACAGAGCAGGTGCTGGCCAGTTGCCAAGCGGCGGCGATAACAGGTACCTATTACGTTATTAGAAAGTTTTGGGGAACCGGTTAGAGACCGCTGCGAGCTGCATCATCTCCTCATCTCCGGTCGATCGCCCGATACGGTCCGAGACCGCTGCGAGCTGCATCCCGGTGTCGTGAAACGAGCTTCTCTAACCGCATGCTTCCGGGTAACGCGCCTGACGCGCCCATGACTGGCAGTGTGCTTGGTGGGCTCCAGTGGCTCACGGCAAGACTGGATTCCCGCGCTTTTGTGAGTGGCGCCATGTAGTACCTCTACCTATGCCTCTACTATAAGTACAAGTGCCTACTGCAGACGGACGCTGCGTGTCTGGCGCGATGTGACAGATAGCAGCGACAGCAAGACCGAGGCAACAGAGGCCGCAGTCGAGAATGTGAGGTGTTCCCTGCACTCGTGGCTAGTCAACGAACCTCTGTAAAGAAAAAACGGCTGAAATCTACCGGGCGGCCCTCCTGCAAACGTGAAAAGGTAAGATGTAAGGCAAACGTGTTATGTGCGCGCGCCTTCTCACTTGCAGCCTGCAGTCACACGAAATATTATCAATTTAGATTATGCTCAAAGGTTACTGAGTATAAAGTCCAAGTTTCAAATATTTTAGAGCTCTAGGAATTAAAATAATTAATTTTAAATAATGATTATGTGCCCCTGCCGACAAGGCACTACTCGATCGCAGTAGGCACAGTTGGCACGAAGGCATATATCATGGTGTCCGCGCGGATAGGCAGAATAATAATAACGTGTCTAAACACTGTGGGCAGCGAGTTCTTACCGCCAGTGATCTGTTTTGAAGCATAAATGGGACTTCTTTGGCCATTCATACGAGTCGGGCCACTCTGGGAATAACAATAACGTGTGTAAACACTGTGGGCAGCGAGTTCTTACTGCCAGTGATCTGTTTTGAAGCATAAATGGGATGTCTTTGGCCATTCACATGACTCGGGCCACTCTGGGAATAACAATAACGTGTGTAAACACTGTGGGCAGCGAGTTCTCACTGCTAGTGATCTGTTTCGAAGCAAAAATGGGACCTCTTTGGCCATTCACGCAACTCGGGCCACTCTGGGAATAACAATAACGTGTGTAAACACTCTGGGCAGCAAACTCTCACTGTTAGTGATCTGTTTCGAAGCATAAATGGGACGTCTTTGGCCATTCATGCGACTGAGGCCCCTCTGGGAATAACAATAACGTGTGTAAACACCGTGGGCAGCGAGTTCTTACTGCCAGTGATCTGTTTTGAAGCATAAATGGGACGTCTTGGCCATTCGTACGAGTCGGGCCACTCTGGGAATAACAATAATGTGTGTAAACACTGTGGGCAGCGAGTTCTTACTGTGCCAGTGATCAGTTTCGAAGCATAAATGGGACGTCTTTGGCCATTCGTACGAGTCGGGCCACTCTGGGAATAACAATAACGTGTGTAAACACTGTGGGCAGCGAGTTCTCACTGCTAGTGGTCTGTTTCGAAGCATAAATGGGACCACTTTGGCCATTCACGCGACTCGGGCCACTCTGGGAATAACAATAACGTGTGTAAACACTGTGGGCAGCGAGTTCTCACTGCTAGTGATCTGTTTCGAAGCACAAATGGGACCTCTTTGGCCATTCACGCGACTGAGGCCACTCTGGGAATAACAATAACGTGCGTAAGCACTGAGGGTTGCGAATTCTCACTGCCAGTGATCTGTTTCGAAGCATAAATGGGACGTCTTTGGCCATTCACGCGACTGAGGCCACTCTGGGAATAACAATAACGTGCCACCAGGAAGGTAAACAGAGGGAAAAATGCAGATGCTCGAAGAGCTTTGCATGGGCCCTTTAAGGCGCAGGCGAGCTGGTGAGCAATCATGATAAAACTAACCGCGAGACAAGGGGAAAAAGACGGGACAGATACAGCAACACTCTTTTGTGTCTGCCCTGTTTTTTTTTGTTTTTTTTTGTCTTGTCTTTGGGTTACTTTATCATGCTTGTGCTTACTTTAAGCCATATGTTACTCCTTTTTTATTTGCTGGCCTTGCATTCTCCAAATAGTAGTCATATTATTCTTTGTAAGCATGAATGATTTTAAATAGAAATGCCAAGAAGGAAAAAAGTCAGTACACTGTGCATGATCGTAGTTATGATATGAGGAAGTGCTTGTGATAGGGCTGTTCCTTTGAGTTGCTGCTATTCTTAATGTATGGTGTGTTCTGCATTTGTTTCTACATGAATGAACATCACAAGGGGAATAAAATTACTCATATGGTCCTTTTTCTTTTTTTTTTCTTTCAGATGCCAGGTGTCCGCTACTATCGTTGCCTGAGATGCAGCAACCGTGTGATTTCTTTAAGGTCGCTCTTCAGACACCTCCACTCTGTTCATAGACATGAAAGCAATTGGATGTGTGGCCTCAGTGGATGCATGAAAACATTTCAGCTGTTCACGTCATACAAGAAGCATGTGTATCGACATCACACTAATCTATTTGAAAAGAAGACAACCCACACCGAGGAAGTGCTTCTTCGTGAAGCCCAAAGTGCACAGGCAGCACAAAGTGACGGTGGTGCTCCAAGTGATGTGGATGCTGCGGAGACTGACTTCGACCGAATGGAGCTACTGGGGCTACAAGAAAGGATGGCTGAAGAAGGAGATGATCCCAACCCCAAATCAAGCGACTACGTTAAGCAATTGGCACTTTTGATTCTTAAGTGGAAAGAGCACAGGCGTCTTCCAGAGTCAACCTTAAACAAAATAGCCAACGATGTAATTTTTTACATACAGGCTATTTTCGAAGATGAACGATTGCAATCTATCGACAAGGATGCTGGCAAAGTGAATGAGCTGCTGTCCGAGCTACAACTGGACCAGCTACTCACGAGAGGTAGGCGGATGACATACTGGAAAGCACATTTTCCATATATTGAGCCGTGCAGTGTCACTCTAAGAATTAACTCAAATGGAAAGGCCGACACCATGACATATGTGCCTCTGTGCAGTGTTTTAAAGCTCATTCTAGAACATCCAACTTGGTCAGGCGACTTCAATTCCTACATGAAACTAGACGACCACATGTGCTCTGTATTTGACGGAAGTGCATTTAGTGAACACGTCTACTTTGCCGGTGATAGCAGTAAAATGTGTTTGCAGCTGTATAGCGATGAATTCGAAGTGTGCAATCCGTTGGGCAGCAAACGTGGGAAACAAAAGTTGACTGCAGTGTACTTCTCTGTCTTGAATTTTGGCGCAAAATTCCGCTCAGCACATGCAGGAATACACTTGGCACTTCTAGTCAAAGACAAGCATGTAGCCACTTATGGTTTACCCAAGATTATTGCACCGCTGCTAGAAGATGTAAGCACCCTAGAAAATGAAGGCATAGTTGCGAACGGTGAAGTGGCAAAGGGTTCAGTCTTCATTATGACCGGTGACAACCTGTCTAGTCATAGGATGGGCGGCTTTCAGTGCAGCTTTAGTCATGGCAGAATATGCAGGTTCTGCATGGCACTACGTCATGAAATTAAGCACAAGCATGATGAGACTGACTTTGCATTGCGCACACCAGCTGGACACCAGCACCATAAGAGTATGTTGAATGCTGGGCTGTCGACAGGGTCACTGTATGGAGTTCAGAAAGCCTGTGCTATCACATCCCAGGGATTTGATCCAACACAGCACTTGCCCCCAGATGTGATGCACGATGTTCTAGAAGGTGTTATACCCTTCGCACTGAAGCACATTATTGCTTATTTAATTGCACAGGGCTTCTTTTCACTTCGCCAGCTGAACGAGTGCATCCTTAGGTGGGACTATGACCATTGTGACGTTCGGAACAAACCAGAACCTCTTCCTTAGCAGTTCCTGCGTGGAGAGGCAGGTATGAAACAGTCAGCCACACAGGTTTTCTGCCGTTTCCGTCATCTGACCTTCTATGTTGGTGACTGCATTCCTTCAGGAAACCAAACCTGGCAACTTTACCTACTGCTTCGAGAAATCTGCGACATCATCATGAGCCGAAAAATTCTATTCTCACACATTGGGCTCCTTTAGCGAAAGATTCAGTTCTTTATCATGAACTTCATTTCAATGTTTCCAGCTGTCAAAATTCCCTGCAAAATGCATTACCTCATTCACTACCCGTCATGCATTCTGAAGTTTGGGTCCTTAGTTGAACTCTGGGCAATGCGCTTTGAGGCAAAACACCAGTACTTTAAAGACATCTCTCGTAAGATCCGCAATTTCAAGAACCTTTCCAAAAGCCTAGCAATAAGACATCAGTTCTACCAGTGTTTTTCCCTCGTTGGCGGTGATGACAAAAGTGTCCCCACAACAACTGGCTGTCACCGTGTACTCTATGAACACCTACCTGACAGCACCAAGCAGTTCATTTTTGAGCAGAATCTTGACAGGAGTAATTCATTCGCTGTCAAATCTGTAAGTGTAGATGGATGGCTGTACAAGGCAGGCTGTGCCCTTGTTGTAAGTGTACCTGAAGATACTCTGCCAAAATTTGTGCAGGTACGTGAAATATTTTATGTCAACAAGTTTGTTCTGCTTCTTGCAAACATACTGGACACAATTTGTTTTGATGAGCATTTTCATGCGTATGTTGTGTGTGCCACTCAAGAAGACAGAGTCTTCACCTCATTCTCTGACGGGTCAGCGGAGCCACTGTACATAAGAGAGCACAATGGACGCACCATATTAACTATGCGTCACTCGTTGTTCTAACATTTGTCACTGCTAAAACAAATAAACGTGACAGTTACTTAGGGTCTTGATGGGATTACATGCTTTGGACAGCCGCCTGCTCCAAGCTTAGGAGGCAGGATCTGCTCCCCACATATAAAGCCGTTCTCTCGAATGCAGCCCCTAAAAGTTTATTCTGAATCCTGCTGGTGGCCATCTATGTGTGTGTGTGTGTGTGTGCATGGCCGCTTGATGTGCTTTGCTTCCATCACTTTCGCAAGGTCAGCTCATATATCAACAGTTGAGCTAAAAAACAGTCCAGAACCAAGAGACCATTTTCCGAAATATGGATTTGAAAGTGCATGGTTCCAAGATGAGATCCCCCTGTCCGCAGGGATGCGCACTGCCTTTGGTTGGCTTATTGTGTTGCAGTGATAGCTCCCACAAAACCACTTTTGTCCCCCTTGAGATCTATCTTTTGCCCCAAGATAAATACAAAGAAGCCATCTTCGCTCTCCGCCCTGCCAGGAAAGAGAGAGAAAGGGAAGAGGTACAATTTATTCTCTAACCCATATTTTGGAAGAAGGTGGATTGGGGGGGGGGGGGGGGGGCATTATCGCCACCCTGGAGGCTGGGTTACGGTAGCGCAATTATGCTTTGTGGATCGAAAAAAACTAAGCTGATCAATTATTAAAGACATATTATGAGTGCTAAATATAGTTTATATCAAACTAAAACATGAATTGCCTAAGTACATGTTGTTTAGGGGTATTTAGTTCATTGAAATAACTAGTTCGTATTTACTCGTTATTTCTCTCCGTCTGCAGCCTCCAAAACCTCCAGTCCACGTCTTCAGCCACTAAAAGCATGTTGTAGTTGCTGCGAGCTCTTGCTTTTTGTGCAATCTTTTTACAAAACTAAGTGAGAGAAGATAAATACTTTTTTTAAGAGATTAACGCCATTCAGGGAGGCTAAAAAGCTGATAGCAAGTACTGCATCACAAAGACTGATTGAGGAGAAATGATAAATATGATACGACGTGTCCACGGGATTTAAACGATGGTAATTCAGAACAACCGCCTGAAAGGCTTTAGTCACCAATGTGGCCAAAATAGAAGTGTGTAAGCTATGCAATTCCAATGGCCACCACAAAAAAAGAAGGTATTGCAGTTACTTTTTTTTTAGGTAACTTGGATGACAGAGCAGGCCTAAAAACAAATACACCCGTGTGAAGTCACAATTAACCTGAAAATACGTCATTTCCTTTGCTTATTTTTAAAAGCGTCACTTCCTACATGTATGTAAGCATCGCTAACGACAATGCCCCACGGCTCAGAGGGGGCGCTGCTCCCCATGAGTGGCCATTTTTGAAATATGGGCTTTTATGGAAGCTTTGCTACCATGGGGCAACCCCTAGGAGGGGGGAGAGGAGGGGAGGGGGGCGTGCTCCTCCGCGCATATCTTCAAAAGTAATGCCCAGAAGAAACAACAAGCTCCAAACAGTGCACTTTTCACTTTCACATTAAGCAGTATTCAGTGCAGGAATGTAAATGTGCCTGTCAGATAAATCTGAGTGCACGGTAAAGGCGATATGAGCAATTTTCCTGTTTTAGAGCTAATATTTCAGAGACTACAAGTTGTGCGGCTTCAAGTACACATATTGAACCACTAAGTATTTTTAGTGCAGCGATAATCTGCTTATATACAGGGTGTTCTTTTTAACCTTACCAAAATATAAAAAAAGAAAAGGAGGTGGAAGATACGTGTCGGGTGCTGATAATGGTGAGTTGAGAGAGACATAGCCGTTTCAATCAACCCGTCACTATCTCAACAGCGTCTCCTTGTTGGATGCGCCGGCATCAGACTTCCAAGGTAATGATGGTGAGACAAACTACTACGTCACATATATCAGCACAACATCAGACGCTCCAGTTCTCGAATTGTGATGGAAAGGCCGATGACTATCTCAAAACTTATTGCATTTTCATGCATTGTTTCAAATAAGTTTGACTTTAAATGGCTCCATTGGAAGCGCAATTGCAATATGGCCCATTCAACTAATTAAAAAAACAGATCTTGGTTAATTAGTCAACATATACTGTGACGTTTAACAATTCATCTAATGTACGCTGAGCCCACTTATATACGCTGAAAACGGCATCCACATATAGCCTCCTTTTTTTCTAAATTATGCTAATATTAGAAATAAAGAACACCCTTGCACGAATAATTGAGCACCCTTCCCACACCCTTCCAGCACTTAGCACCCCTCGCGATGTATCCGAAGGGTGCTCGCGCCCAAGCACCCTCGCGCTCGTCGTGAGGGGTGCTAACCCTGCAAAAAAAAAAGGGTGCTAGACGGCTAAGCGAGGGGTGCAAACCCCCTGCAGCACCGCTAAAGGGTGCTGTAGCACCCTTAAAGGGTGTAAAAAAGTTAGGTGATACGTGATCATAAATTTTACCTTGCGCTTCTTATTGCGTCAATATCACTTAACCACTGTAAATTCAGGAAACTTTCGCTGACATAAATAGTTGGCCTCTCAATTCACACGAGGCTCAGATGCATACTCAAGGGGCGCCATTGCAAATGCTGAGTCCTTTTCTCACACGTATTCCATACGCCGACGGTGCAAATAGTAAAAACGTGTTACAAAATCAAGTGAAGAAGTTGTGTGCATAATGATGGCAAGCAATTATGTAGTAAAAATAAGAATCAGATGACACTTCACAAAGCAAGGCAAAACATCGCGGAAACCCTGCCGTGGCATCATCGGCTAACATGCACCCGATCACGTTCACGCAGATAATCATCGGCTGGCTGTTATTACCCTCATCATCGTGGAAGGCATCCTCGCCTGTGGGATGCTTTGTGGTCACCGGCGACTCACTGCGGAACGGAACAAAGATTGCACTGTCATTACCTACGCACGTGGCAGGCTTCCCCGGCGCAGCAGCCCTGCGCAGGATGACGTTATCAGGAGACCCCTGCTTGCCTGGCGAACAGTATATAAGAAGCATGCCCTCAGCCGCCAGCTCCAGTGGACACGGCAACCCTGCCATGGCATCATCGGCTAACATGCACCCGATGACGTTCACGCAGGTTGGTGATCGCAAATACGGGTTCCGTAGTGACTCCGTTGCCTTAGTTGTGTTGCCGTGTCCACGGGTGTCAGGCCAGTGTGCTTATGATTGTCTGTCTGTGGCGGGCATGCTACTTAAACTATCCGGCGACGTTGAAGAAAACCCTGGGCCCATAACTGAGACGTTTCCTAAATTGCTCCAGACACAAAAAGAGATCCTTAAAAAGGTCAACGAAATTCAGGTAAAACAAGACACTTCGGAAATCAATATACAGAAGCTGCAAAACAGGCTGGATACGGTTGAGGAAAAATTACAAATCGTCGATGAAACAGGTGGCAGGCTTGGTCAAATTGAAACCACGCTTACCAGTCACGATCACGAAATTACCTCTTTATACAAACAAATGGACGATCTTGAGAATCGATTCCGAAGAAATAATTTGATAATTAGAGTTATCAGTGAAGCAACATCAGAAACGGAAGAAGTCCTTGCGAGCAGTGTTGTGCACGTTTCTCAAAAAAAGGAACGAAGGATCATTCCTCGTTCCTTCTAATTTTTGGAACGCGTTCCAGTTACAAGTTCTATATGGGAAAAAAGAACTAGTTCTCGTTACAGTTAAAAAAATGGAACGTATCGTTACATATACGTTACATTTGCATTTTGCTGATTACCATATTTAGTAAAATGAAGAAAAGTTTTCACTCTTTATTTTTTAATCTACCCCATCAAATGGGAACATACGAATTTGAATGGCGGGACGGAAGGGCACCAGGGGAAAAAAAAGGCGGAAGCAGGGTTTCATTTGTTGATATAGTCACATTTGAAAATCTCGACTTTTAACCGTAATTATGTCTGTGGTGGGCAAATCAGACGAGCCAAATGAACTGTTACCCCACATTGCACAAGTGTTTTACATTAACCGCACACGTTTCAATCTAACAAAGTCCCCTTGTTCAAACTAAGCAACAGTCGCTTCTTCATGTTGCTGTCCACAAGATGAGCAAGTGAAGACGAGGGTAAGGCTTTTGGGAGGTCAGTCTACAAGTCAGTTACAAGGTTGGATTCGTTTTTCAGTTTGAAGGTGAAAGACAAGGGGGAGTGAATAAAGGTTAATTTTTGTGCATCTTAAAGGGACCAATGTTCGCCATACAAAGGTGTGCTCAATGTCTGGTAACCTGCTCTTTTGTTGTAACTGTAGGCCTATTTATGGAAGTTCAGTGATGGCTGTTATTGGCCTTAGATTTCTGGGTGTTTGAA